ACCAACCGTGTTGAATAAATCTGACTTGATGGCTTGAATGAGAAACTAAGAAAAGTAAAGAGGTAACACAGAAAGGCTATGAGGTAATGCAGAAAGAACAAGCTAAAAGCTTCCATCGTTGTTGTTAAAACCTTAGCTTCAAATGCTAGTTTGAAATTAAAGGAAGCTAGGAACAACCATCTTCCACAACTTCCCAGCTAAACTTCTTTTTAACCCTTTTTAACCTCCTACAAGGAGCAACCTTTGAAGCTCTTTTGTGAACTGAGGAGTTTCTGTCATATTTCAGGCCGGCTCAAAGAACAAAATCACTGGGTTGGAATCAGATATCAGTGAGCGTGATCTCTGCTTATGCAGGAACCACGAGAAAAACCCAGAAAAACTTCTAATGCTCAACAAAGAACATTTTATTGACATACACTAAAGGTACAGGGAGGTCACCAAATGTTGTCTTTATAGGATAAAGAGTTAAAAACCATCACTGCCTATCCCACCTGTTAAATCCTCAATAGAAAAGTGTGAATTGATTTTCTTGATTATTTTGTGCTACACTGAATTCAGCCACAGATCTCTCTGGAAGCCTGAAACACACAGTGGTCCAATTCTTCCGCCTACCTGTCAGACTGGATCGCTACTCGGTTTTTAAAAGATACTTTTCCAGTTGGTTTAGAGACTGTATCAATTATAAACTCCTTTCTGTCATCTGGGGTTTTCACCTCCAGATACACAGACAACAGTTAATGCTCCCGCCAAGCTTTTAACCATTATTGTAGCTCTTCATTGTTACCTGTTAGTTTTACAACCATTTTAAGATTAGTGTGCTTGTGTTTAAGCCCGACACAGTCCGGCTGCTGCCTACAGCTGCAAGTTGCTGACTCATGAACACATTTTACAGCATGACTGTGTTAAAGACTTGCATGGTCCCTAAAGGTGATTGGGCTTTTACAGTTCAGACCTCATGACTGTATAAAGTGACTGTAGAGTGATTTCTTCAGTCACTCTGTAAAATCGTTTAAATTTCTTGGTAAAGCTTATTTTTAATCTTTCTGCTTTTCTAAACCACTAATGCCCTGATGAAACTCTTACCTATTCTGTCTGTGTAGGTTCTTGTTTGTCCAGCTCATGCTAGTCTGAGGAGCTTGGAAAGAAAAAACAACTGGAGTTTCCTTAAGACGTTTCATCAGGTGATCTGAATGGGTCACATGACAGTGTGAGGCATGGTCTCACAATGGTTTCACCAAAACCTCTGCGGGCCTACGCCTTGGCTCATGTGGTGAGGCACATGATCGACCCTCTTAAAGGACAGCTCCCACCTGGGATTCTCC